CTTTGGAAAGAAAAATGTGGAAAATCTGCATTGGAAGAAACTTTAGAGAGTATCCAGTGTTGCTAGTAAGAAAATTCCCCCTGAACACGTGCTCCATGTGTTAACCATTCACCCTGCTCACCAACTTTCAGGGACAAATAACTGCCCCCAAGAGGGCCTGTCATCTCTCTCTTGTGTGTTGATCCTTGTGCTCTCTGATGCTCACGGAAGTACCTCAGATTCATCACCACGTCTTCCAGAAGATGGGCCTTAGGCAAACATTCAGCCAGTATAACTGTCTTCTTGCATTCTGGCTATCTTACTCCTATGGGTTATTGCAAAGAACTGAAGAATTTGACTTAGCTTTACTTACAGTAGAGATTCTTTCATCTTAGTTCTCAGTTGAAAATGCAAGCGGCCAAAGTACTTCAGTTTATATTTCTCAGTAAAATTAAGTTGCCTTTCACTTCAGTCCTGTCAAGCTCAAGATCTGTTTGTTTTCCTCTTGGACTGATTTTGGTTCTCTTCAGATAAGTAGTAAGACACCAAGACATCATTAGAGACCCATCAAAGGATAGTCTCCTGTCCCTTTTGAACTAAAACAGTGATTACTTTTTTAAAAAAAAAGACCCAATAGTGTAACAACTGGATGTTACTGCATGTATTGCAGCCCTCTGTTTATGAGCGATGTCTCATCAAGGTTTTTCCCACAATCAGGAATTACTTCAAAGGGGGGCAGTATTCTGCCCCTTTTATAACTCTGAGAGTAGTTAAATGACTGGACCTCAGAGCCAGGCTGTTACCTCATGCTCTTTGGAGCCAATGAATGTCCCCTCTGTCTTCAAGGATAACATTAAGCATCAAGCTGGTGTGATTTTTAAAATACGTTTCTCAAAAGAACTTTGCAAGTATTATATGTTCAATTTGTTGTAATAGTGTAAAATGTATCTTTCTCAAAAAAGATACCCACAGATCTTAGTGTGACTTACTTGAAAACAGTTAACAGTCACAACTTATTTTCACCCTTCTCTCCCCAGAAGAGATTTTAAAAACCATCAACTATGCGCTGACTCTTGACGTGGTTTCAGCCCTACAAATAGGGCTTTCACCAAGGATCTCCTAGAGCCCTTTCCTGAGGAGGTTTACTTTGCCAGGAATCTGTAACTCTTTAGGAGAATGTTGTTCCCTGTTACCAGTTAATGTTGTTGGCTTCGTATTCTGTGATGAGTGGATGACCTAGCTATGACTGCCACTCTCAGTGACAGTGCGATATGCTGAAGTGGCCATACTGGAGTGAATAGGTTCCTGAGTGAAGATACCAATTAAACCACACAACAGTACTTGTCCCTCTTGAAACCCCAGTAAAATGCCAGTAAAGAGATTTTCTAAAGAAATAAACCCATAATAATAAAGGACAGGAGATCAGATAATAATGAAGTCTGGAACCTGGAAAGCAAATAAATTGAGCACACTTCCCAAATCCTAAGCCAGCAGAGGGAAAACCAAGAAGAAACCAGATATGCCCAGCAAAACCAAACATTCAGGACTTGGGGTTACCAGGAGACTTGGAGGTGGGGGTGGGGCAAAAGTAAAGCCAAAGAACGAGAGTTCATAGAAAGTTTGTTTAAAGGCACACTTGATCTCCAGATCATGTCCTCTGCCCTGGCATAAAACTGGTCCTTTAATTCTGGAAGAGCATAAAATAGAAGGCCTTGGACTGGAGAGCATTGGCACAGGTGAAGGTATGGAAGCCATATTGGAAACAGCGTACATAATTACATGGGTGGTGCACACAGAACCCTGAGTGGCCCCGACTTACTCCTCACTCAGCTTGCAAAATGCCGTCTGCCTGCCCGGAACCTCCAAGCAAGAAAGGAAAAGATGCTTTTCTGGGGAATCTGACCAGCCCGAGAATAAGGACTAAAGATGTGACACTGGGTCATCCCCAAGGAAAGAATCCAGACAGATCATTGTGCAGTAAAGCCCAGAGTCAGCAAAAACCCACAGACCAGAACTTCCAATCAGCTTTTTAGCACTTTCTCTTAAGTATGAGCAAGACCGTAGGATCACTAGATACCTGAGTAAAACCTCTTACATAAAAGAAACCAAACAAGTGGGGGGGGGATAACTTGGAGGAAACAGAGACTTTCAGGAAAACAAAAAACAGCAGCAATGAAAGACACTGATTAATATCGGAAGATATGAGAAGAAATTGCAATCACAGACATGAAGAGAACGGTGCTTTTTATAAAAGAAACATTCAGAAATCAAAAAAGGACTTTGGAACCGGGCTCGGTGGCTCAACCTGTAATCCCGCGCCTTTGGGAGGCTGAGGTGAGTGAATTGCCTGAGCCCGCGGGTTCGAGACCCGCCTGGGCAGCGAGACCTCATCTCTACAATAAATCAAAAAATCAGCTGGGCGTAGTAGCGCATGCCTGTAATTCCGGCAACTTGGAAGGCTGAGGCAGAAGGATCGCCAGTGCCCAGCAGGTCGAGGCTGCGGTGGCCAGGAGCGGCCACTGCACTTCCGTCTGGGCGACAGAGTGAGACTCCAACTCAAAAAAAAGGACCTTGGGACATCAAAACTATGATAACAGAAATAAAAAACAGAAGGTCTAGAAAATAAAGCTAAATAAACTTTCCAGAAATAACAACTTTTAAAAATGAAGCAGCAGAGACAAGGCTGGGCATGATGGCTAACACCTGTAATCCTAGCCCTTCAGGAAAACCAAGGCGAGAGGATTACTTGAGCCCAGGAGTTTGAGACCATCCTCATCTCTACAAAACATCAAAAAAATTAGCCAGGCATGGTAGCATGTGCCCATAGTCTCAACTACTCGGAAGGGTGAGATGGAAGTCTCACCTGATCCCAGGAGGTCGAGGCTGCAGTGAGCTGTGATCATGCCACTGCATTCCAGCCTGGGCAACAGAGTTAGACTCCAGCTCAAAAATAAAAGAGAATAAAGACAATATATGAAAATTGGAGAGCCAGGCCACAAGTTCCAGTATAACTGGACATAGAAATGTAATGCAAGCCACATAGATAATTTTAAAATTTAGCTGTAATAAGAAAGTTGTAAAAATAGGCCAGGTGCGGTGGCTCACAGCTATAATCCAAGCAATTTGGGAGACCGAGGTGAGAGGATTGCCTGAGCCACAGGTTCAAGACCAACCTGGGCAACTTGGCAAGACCTCATTTCTACAATAAATGAAAAAATTATCTGGGTATGGTGGCACACACCTGTAGTTCCAGCTACTTGGAAGGCTGAGGTGCAAGAATCACCTCAGTCCAGCAGGTCGAGGCTGTGGTGGCCATGAGTGTGCCTGAGTGACAGAGTAAGACTCTGACTCAAAAAATAAATAAATAAATAATACAAATAGGTAAAATTAATTTTAGTCATATACCTCACTATAATTTATCTAAAATGTTATCATTGCAACATAATTAATATAAAATATTGATAAGATTTTTGCTTTCTTTTTTCATACTAAGTCTTCAAAGTTATTGTGTAGATGTACTTAGAAAACATCTCAGATTAGCCACATTTCAAATATTCAATAGCAACACGTGGCTGGCAGCTACCATATTGAACCATGTATTTCTGAATAGTAGGTGTTCTAAAGAGAGAGAGAGAGAGAGAACAGAGAAGGAAGGGGGCAGGAAAGAAATAAAATAAGAAAATTCTCAAGGACCAAAGGATACAAGTTTCCAAACTGAATAGGCTCTCAAAAAAACCCAGCCAAATAGATGAACTAGATCAAACCACCAGGGACTCTGAAACCTCCATAGGCTTTGAGAGAAAAATACAAGTTAAAGTCAAAAGACCAAATAGCAACATGGCTTCAGACGTTTCAGCAGCATTGGGTAGGTAGAAGGTAGTGGATCAATGCCTTTCAAAATCTGAAGAAAAGCGCCACCGACCTATAATTTTATGATTAGCCAAAATACCAAACAAGTTAGTGGGTAGAAGAAAGGGCCTTTCAAATATCCAAGATCTCAAAAAATGTACCCGTCATGCTTCCTTTTTCAGGAGGATACTGGAGAATGTGCAAACCAACAGAGTAATAAGGAAACAAAACAAAAAATGTAGAGAATATGAGATACAAGAAACAGGAGAAGAGAATCCCTGGGTGGAACTGCAAACCAGGCCTAGAGACCAAGCAGTCCAGATTCAAATAGGTCAGAAGGGGTTAAGGAGCATCCAGTTGACAGAATGCCTGATGGGACTGAGTGTGAATTTAGACAACTGGCAGATAGTTGGGGGTACACAGAAAACTAAGCAAATAAGAGATAAAGATAATATTATAAACTCTGAATGTTGAACAATTTGGCCGCATTAAGAAGATGGGAAGAGAATGCAGGTAGCGTGGTGGGAAATTGTAAAAGTACTGAGACCTCATGTTATATCATCTGAAACTAATCCACCGTTCTTAAAATGAAAATATAAGAAAGGGGCAGTGTAGGCGCGTTATCTGAAAATGCGATGGTAAAAAGTCAAGTAATCCGGTACTGAATGTGGTTGGTTCTGAGCATGAAAATAAAGGGGCCGGGCTCGGTGGCGCAGCCTGTAATCCTGCGCCTTTGGGAGGCTGAGGTGAGTGGATTGCCTGAGCCCACGGGTTCGAGATCTGCCTGGGCAACTTGGCGAGACCTCATCTCTACAATAAATTAAAAAATTAGCCAGACGTGGTAGCGCATGCCTGTAGTTCCAGCTACTTGGAAGGCTGAGGCGGGAGGATCGCTGGAGCCCAGCAGGTCAAGGCTGCGGTGGCCGGGAGCGGCCACTGCACTCCAGTCTGGGCGACGGAGTGAGACTCCAACTCAAAAAAAAAAAAAGAAAGAAAGAAAATAAAGGGAAGGAGAAGTCTGCTGTTTTCTCTAACAAACTTTATAAAACTATGTCTAAGTCTAGAGTATACCTATATGTGACTTTTATTAAAAAGAAGCATGGGCAGTAGTAAATCTGAATAACTAGAAGCTCTTTACGCGGCCCGTGGTGATCAGTGTCCTTGTCTCCTAGCATTGAGTACTGGTTCCGCTGCATGGATGTGGATGGAGACGGTATCCTCTCCATGTACGAGCTGGAGTACTTCTATGAGGAGCAGTGTGAACGGATGGAAGCCATGGGCATCGAGCCTCTGCCGTTCTACGATTTACTGTGCCAGATGCTTGACCTGGTGAAGCCAGCCATCGATGGTGAGGCCAAGCAAAGGGATATTTGCATTGTTCGCATACCTCACAGAGTGGGACACATGATCCTAGACTGTCCTAAATTTAACTCTCCAGAGTCTTCCATTCAGGCTTCCCACGTACAGAAGTGATTACAGTATCTCCTTGACTATTAGTGTAGAACCCACAATTGACAGCAATTCCACTGTTTAAGAAATAGGATTTGGCTGGGTGTGGTGGCTCACGCCTGTAATCTCAGCACTTTGGGAGACTAAGGTGAGAGGATTGCCTAAGCCCAGAGGTTCAAGACCAGCCTGGGCAACTTGGCGAGACCTTGCCTCTACAATAAATAATTAGCCAGGCATGGTGGTGCACGCCTGTGGTTCCAGCTACTCAGAAGGCTGAGGCAGAAGGATCACCCGAGCACAGCAGGTCGAGGCTGCGGTGGCCCTGAGCATGCCACTGCACTCCAGCCTGGGCGACAGAGTGAGACTCTGACACAAAAAAGAAATAGGATTTTTCGGCCAAGGGCAGGGGCTCATGCCTGTAATCCCAGCAATTTGGGAAGCTGAGGGTAGGATTACGTGACCGTGAGAGTTCAAGACCAACCTATGCAACAAGCCATGACCACGTCTCTACAAGACATTGGCTGGATGTGACAGTACACGTCTGTCGTCCCAGCTACTTGGGAGGCTGAGATAGGATTGCTTGAGCCCAGGAGTTTGGGCTGCCATGAGCTGTGATCACGCCACTACACTCCAGCTGGGGCAAAAGAGTGAGACTCTGACTAAATTTTTTTTTTAAGATTTTTCACCAGGTTGGGGGGTGTATGTGCCTAGTCCCAGCTAGGTGGAAGGCTGAGGTAGGAGGATTGCTTGAGGTCAGGAACTTGAGGCTGCCGTGCACTCTGATAGTGAGACCCTATCTTTAAAAAAAGGAAGGAAGAAAGAGAAAAGAAGGGAGGCTGGACACGGTGGCTCATTCCTATAATCCCAACACTTTAGAAGGCCAAGGTGGGAGGATTGCTTGAGCCCCGGAGTTTGAGACCAGCCCAGACAACATAGTGAGACCTCTTCTCAACAAAGAATTTAAAAAGCAGCCAGGCGTGGTGGCATGCGCCTGTAATCCCAGCTACGGGGAGGGCTAAGACAGGAGGATCACTTGATCCCAGAAGGTCAAGGCTGTGATGAGCCATGATTGTGCCACTGCTCTCCATCCAGTCTGGGCAACCGAGTGAGAAGCTGACTTAAAAAAAGAAAAGAAAAGAAAAAGAGGATTTTTCCATAGAAACAGAAAGCAGGTCACTGGTTGCCGGTGGGATGAGGGGAAGAGGGATGGGGAGGGACAGCTTGATGGGATGACAGATGGTGGAGGGCTGCTGTACAACACTGAGTGCACCAAAAGCCACTGAACTGTGCACTTTAAAACAGTTTAAGTTTTATGTGAATTTTACATTAGGTGAATTCTGCTTCAGTTTAAAGAAAAAAATAGGACTTTTATAATAAATGTGTGTCTGTATATATATTTACATACTTTTAAAATTCAGTGAAAGTTTTTTCCTCTTTCAGCTCTTGATGAAATTTACCAGACTGACTTGTTTTTGTACAGGCAGAATAACCCTGCGAGACCTGAAGCGGTGCAGGATGGCTCACATCTTCTATGATACTTTCTTTAACCTGGAGAAATACTTGGACCATGAGCAGAGAGATCCCTTTGCGGTCCAGAAGGTAACGGTGTGATTTGAACTTCTGCTTGAGGGTTGCAGAGTCAGGGGCCACGCACTGCATATGAGAATGGTCTCTGCTGCAGGAATCTTGCTGTTTAAAGAAGTGCTGTTTAAAACATGTCGTGAGATACTGAAAACGGAGAACAAAGGGCCCAGAGCATGTCTCTTCCCACAGCTGAGCTTCCAATTTAGGAAGCCTGCATCTGCCTAGGGGCTTCCCCTGAGTGGACTGTACCGCTTACATACTTATATATACATTGGAAACAGTTACAAAAAGTCGTTTTGGAAAAAAGTGTCCCTTTTTTCCTAACTTCTAAAAAATATGTCAGCAGGCTCATCTGTATTTGAAACTAAATTGGCCCTGATGTAATTGTGCCATTCATGTCTAGAATGCCGTGGTAGGTAAATGGCTTTCCCCACTGGAGTGCAAACCAGAAACTCTCCATGATAGACCACCTTCCGATCATACAGCAGGGGACTGGAAAAAGGTCTCTGATTACAAGGCTGAAGAATCTAGCCTAGACCAGGCGTAGTGGCTCATGCCTGTAATCCCAGAACTTTGGGAGGCAGAGGCAAGAGGATTGCTGAGCCCAGGAGTCCGAGATCAGCTGCACAACTTGGCGAGACCTTGTCCCTACCGTCAATCACTCACTCAGTCTATCAGTCAACTAATATTTATTAGCCAGGCGTTATGGCAAGCACTGGAGTACCAGCTACTTGGAAGGCTAAGGCAGAAGGATTGAGCCCAGCAGGTCAAGGTTGCAGTGGCCATGATTGTGCCACTGCACTCTAATCTGGGTGACAGAGTGAGACTCTGACTCAAAAAAAAGAATCTAGACCTTTAAAAAAATCTAGCTGCTAAACAGTTGTAATTTTGTGATTGGAGGTGTAGAAAATCACCTGTGTTATCGTTTTGTTAATTTTTTAATAGTGATGAGGTCTTGCTTTGTTGCCCAGGCTGGTCTCAAACTCCTGGGCTCAAGCAGTCCTTCTGCCGCGGTCTCCCAAAACGCTGAGATTACAGGCATGAACCCCCACACCAGGCCCAGCACCTCTTTTAACATGCTGAAATGAACCGTCTTTCAGAGGGCATCACAGACGTCACACATCACTGAAAAACGTGTCTCCGTTCTTTGACTTTGGCTCTTCCCGTTTTCCGCGGCTGCCCTCTTTCCACTCAGGATGCTGAGAACGATGGGCCTGAGCCCTCCGACTGGGACCGGTTTGCGGCTGAGGAGTACGAGACGCTCGTCGCAGAGGAGTCTGCCCAGGCACAGTGCCAGGAGGGGTGAGTGAGTCTCCTGTGTCTTGCAGAGCTTCTCGGCAGGGGTGCCCATGTGAGGAGTAGTGAAGCCACTGGAAGCCTTTTCTACCTTCTCCATTTTTGATTGGCATAAAAATAGGACTAACGTGACCAACTTTAGTTTGATGAATGTGGTCCTCTCTTCCTGATGAGGTCTTCTCACGTCCCGTTTCCTTTGGTGGAGGCACTCACCCCTTCCACTGGAAGCCACGATGACTGAGTAGCCATGCTAACTGTCTGGCGATCTCGGGACACCTGTAGATAAGGGAGGAGGCTGAATAAACTGAAGCGCCTCAGACAATAAAGGCGGTCATGGCTAAGACAAAGCGCTACCATACGTGGTCTTGTACACTCTGCCCTGTGCAGGAAGTAACTTCTGCATATAATTTCTACAGGTCAGGGCATACTTCCATAAAGAGATCATTTTAAGTAATTAACTCATCCAGGAATTTGACTGCTTGGAACATTTCAGTGACTTTATGATTTGCTCTTTCTGTCATCTTTTAGTGACTCCTTAGCAGTTCTTCTTATTTTTCCTTAGTTGTGGTTTCTCTGAGACCCTCAGTTAACCTTTATCATTAATGCATGTTTTGAACAGGCAATATTTATGTGATATAACAGTCAAAGAAACAGAAGGATAAATAATAAAACAGTTTCTTACTACCCAGTTCTCCCTAGAAGCAACTGGTGTTACCATGTTCTTGTGTACCCTTCCAAGACTCTCTCCATTAATACACACACACACACACACACACACACACACACACACACACATCACAGACACAGAAAGACATACGCATTCTTTTATTTTTATTTCTTTTCTTACACAAATGCCATATTCATTGTCATTGTTTGGTAACTTGCTTTTTCCACACTTAACAATATTTTGGAGACCATTCCATAGATGTGTCTAACAAATTATATGGATTTTTACCGCTACATAATAGTCTACTGTATATTTATACCATTATTGTGCAGTCCTCTAGTAATGGACATTATATTTCTAATACATCACTAATAGAAATTATAATGTTGCAGTGAGTCATCTTATATACATATATAGGATAAATTTCTAGAAGTGTAGCAACAGATAGCATACTCAAACTAGGTGGTACAAAGAGTTTGCAAGTCACAAGAGGGTTTTGGAGAAACTCCCAAGAAGTGCTGTAGGTACCCAGAACTAGCAACAGTAGAGAGCCATTTTTTTCCCTACACTTCAAGGGAAAAGGAAATAAAACCATCACCGGAACCCAAAGAGAGTAGCTGTATGAACGGGGTAACCCAACAGGACCTGTGGGCTTCAGTAACGGGATTTAATCAACCTCTGGCAACCCAGCCCAGAGGGAGCTGCTAGAATAAATACCAGCGTCGTCGTCTTCACACCCTTCATTGTCCTGCTGGTGCCTCCTGTTGGCCTCCAGCCGGATCCCAGAAGACAGGGGAGGCCACTGATACGTCCATTCACATCAGCCTCCTGGGACACAGAGCTAGGGGAAGAGTAGATCTGGAGGGATAAACAGAAAACATCCAGCCCAACAGATAATGTCAAACAGTCTTCTATATAGATTGTTCCATTTTTATGGCAATGACCTGAAAACCCTTAATATCATTTATTGTGTATTGAGTATCTTAAGCCTGACTGAATCAGATGACAAGGAAATTGATTCACAAGCATGATTTAAGGGGTTCTTTGCATTGAGATTCCTACTAGGAATTAGGGTCAGTTTACTGATCTAGAGGAACATTGCGACAGAACACGTGTGGATGTTTATAATAGGGAAAAACTGGAGACAGTCTAAGTATCCAATGGAAAGAGTAATAAAATTATACTACATATAGACAGTATAATTCCATGTAAGCATTCAAGTTATTTCGTGGATGTGTATTTCTTTTGTTTTTTGGATTAGAAAATATAGTTAATTTCAAAGTAAATTAGAGAGAGAGAGAGAGAAAAGATTCACCTCCCCAAGGTGGGGAAGGGAGCCAAAGCCAGGAAGCGTGGCCACAAGCATAGTTCAAAGAACACATGGCACCCCATAGTCTCTAGCGAGGCAATGGCGATGTGTGTTTCTTAACTTTCCTTAGGAAAAACAAGGGAAGAAGAAGACGACTTTGAAAGAGCAAGTAAAATGTACTAGAAAGAACAAAAGTAGCCAAAAGAAAATCAGGCATATGTAAGGAAAATGAAAAGGCTCTAACTTGCATGTATTAGACAAGAAGACATATCCCAGAAATACTGGTAGTGAACAGTGACTGACAGCTGATATACATTGTAAATTCATTATAATTAAAGGATGAATAAGGGTTTATTTTGGAGGGTTTTTTTTTCCTTTTTAAAAATGCAAGTCACCCAACAAGGAAAAAGAAATCAGCCTTGCCTCAGATACCCCCACAGTAAAACTGAATACTGAAAGGCCAGGAGACAATGTTTACAACTTTCTCAGAAAAAGAAATTCCATACACAAGAACTTCATACTAAGCCAAGATGCTATTCAAGCATGAAGACACAGGTGAATATTTTCAAACAGAGGAGAACTGGAGGTAATATAGCACCCAGGAGCTCTTCTTTAAAAAGGATATAATCAGCCGGGCTCGGTGGCTCACCCTGCAATCCCACGCCTTTGGGAGGCTGAGGTGAGTGGATTGCCTGAGCCTGCGGGTTCGAGACCCGCCTGGGCAGCGAGACCTCATCTGTACAAT